GCCAAGAAGCCTTGAGCCCACGTATTCTTGGCTGATCGCGCGAGCTTCTAAACCATGCAACAGCTGCCACAGGTCTATGGCACACTTCAGCGGCATCCCCACCCTTTTCAAAAGAATTCACCAGCCGTCCCAGCCTGTTCACTCTTCTAATGGCACACGCAACCCCACCTGTATGTCTTGCCAATGCCCCTGGCAGGCGTGCGAGATGGTGCGCAGCGCGCCGTCACGGGTCGTGGCGGAGGCGGAGCTCAAGGTTGCCCTGGGTCTCAGGATGGCCAAGGGCCACCGCACGTGGCGCAGGTGGGCAAAGCTCCAGCTTGAGGCAGGGACTGGGTGTGTTTGGGGGGGGGCAAGGCAAACTGGCGCATATGCATGTGGCTTGTGAAACAGCACTGATCTGTTTGACAATTATCAAGGGCGAGAACGCTATCGCCGAGCCCACTGCGTGGTTGTCAGCTCCTTTCACCTCAGCCACTCTTCATCCCAGCCGTGTTGTCCCGGAATTACCATTCGCGCACCCATCCGACCACGCGCCCCGCGGCCCCAGGATCCGCGACAAGCTGAAAAAGGTCGGCGCCGTCGAGGTGTTCGTCGCGCGCGTGGGCGACGCGGGTGCGACGCCCGTCACCTGCCTCCGCCTGCTGCACGACTGGCTGCCCCCCGACAGCAGCGACGAGGACGCGGCGGGGGCCGGCGAGGAGGGGGACGGCGGGGAGGACGAGGAAGGGCCCGAGGGCGAGGGCGGGGATGACGAGGAGGAGGGCGGTGGCGGCGGCGGCGGTGGCGAGCGCGACGAGGCCTTCTTGGAGTGCAGCATGTCGCAGGCCGTGCTGGACGCCGTCTGCGAGGTGGGCTTGGGGGATGGAGGTCGTTGGCCGGTGAGGGTTTGCTGGGGGCCGGCCTTGTGAACTCGCTGCTCAACAAAGGGCAGGGCTCTGGCACGGTCCTGCAGACGCCGCCGCCCCTTCGCCAACATCGCTTGCCTGACGCTCCTGCGGCGCCCGCGCGGCCTCCCATGCGCCGCCCGTGCTGCAGGCAGGCGAGGGTGGCATCATGGTGCCGCAGATCGTGCGGCGCGTGGGGGCGATGGTGCCCAAGGCCCTCACCAAGATCACCGTTGACCTGGTCAAGCGCTACGGCCTTGAGGTGGGGAGCGGCGCAGCTGCTGACTGGCACCATGCAGCTGCCGAGGGGCTTGTCGCACATAGTGTGCTGGCCTCAGAGTGCGTCAATGAATTGAGTGCACCCAGCTTGGCTTGAAACGCCCTGCACTCACCACTCTCCCCCCCTGACTGACTCACGGAGAATAATGGGCACCTCCGCGTCCACACACACACACACATATACTGTCTGTCTCGATTTCCAGTATGGTTTGGCTCTCACACGCTTTCTCACTGTGCAGGCTCAGTACGGCAAGGTTGGCAAGCAGGTCACCAACCGGCTCACTGCGCCGCCAGACCTTCTGGCTGCTTGGCGCCGCCAGCGCGGCATCGTCCCACCCTTCGGCGCCACCACCCCGAACCCCGCTCTCCGCGCGGCCTTGGCGCCGGCAGCAACGGTCGCTGAAGGCGCGGCGGGGCGGCAGAGTTTAGAGGCAGCCGAGGGGGTCCGTGGCTCGCAAACACACGCCGGCATGCACGGCCGCACGGCGCGCGGCGGCAGGCAGCAGCGGCAGGCGGCAGAATCAGATGATGGCTGGAACTCTGAGGCCGAGGGGGAGGCGCAGCGGCAGCAGACAGGGTCATTTGAGGCAGGCGAGCAGCAGGCGCCCGTTGGCGGCAGAGGTCAGGGGCGCGGCAGGGGCCAGGGGCGCGGCGGCCGCAGCGGGCGCGGCGGGCGCGGGCCTGGCGGCCGCGGGCGGGGCGCCGCAACGGCAGCACGGACAGCGGGTGCAGGCAGCGGCGGCGGCGGTGACGAGGACACTGCCAGTGCTGATGACGTCACGGCCCCGGGCTCGAAGACCACCGGCGCCGGCACCGACGGCACCGGCGCCAGCGACGGGGCACCCTCGGCCCGGCGTGCTACGACCGGCGTGCGGCACAGCGCGGTGACGGAGGAGAGGATCCGGCTGCTGACGGCGCTGCTGCAGCGGCGCGGCTTCCTGCTCAAAGCGGTGGGTGGGGT